TTACTGTCGCAATCTCGGTACAGAGCAGCAGAGCAAATAGAAAGGTAACGTGGCATGGCCCACCCTGACAGAAATGCCTTTGCACAGCCCCACCACAAAAAAACACAATACAAAGTTATAAAATAAAAACTCCTCTTTATTACATTCATTGGGTATTTTTGCAAAAATCTCTTCAACTGCTGTGATTTATTTGCTGCCCCTGGTAACAGCCCAGCCCTAGATGTATTAAAAAAGAACTTTAATATTTTATAACCTCTCAACTCCTAAACCATGATTGCAACTTTAAATACAACTGGAAGGCGAAGCTTTTCCTAAAGGTCATTTCCAGGAGGGCTCAGCCAAAGCTCAAAGGCCATGGCTGGTGGGGGGGCCAAGCTGCCCAACGCTGACAACTCACTCAAGAGCAGGGGCAGGAACCAGAGGCCAGGTAACAAGCAATTAGAGCTCATTAAGCAACTGTGAGCTGCTGAAAGGTTGCAATGGTGGCATAAAACCTGCAGTATGAGCAGAGCCCTTGACTGCAGCCACTCAATTGCTCAGAAGACAGATTTTCTTTGCTAGAAAGAGCTTATTTTGGGATCTCCTGGGTAAAATGCCCAAGTGCTGGTGGGTGCTCAGCCAGGGTGAGTCACGGACAACACAATCCCATACAGCACCAATGGACACTCCAGTCCTACTCCAGCTTGTAGCTCCCCTGCTGCTGAATCACAGCATGGTTTGGCTTGGAAGGGACAACACAGCCCCCAAAGTCCAACCCTCCGTGAGCAGGGACACCTCCACCAGCCCAGGCTGCTCCAGGCCCCGTCCAACCTGGCCCTGGGCACTGCCAGGGAGGGGGCACCCACAGCTTCTCTGGGCAACCTGTTCAGAGCTGTCGGGTCGCCATCCGTCAGAGCTTCCCAGGTAATTGGTGCTGCCCAAATTCCTCACAGCTCCCTCCCAAAGACCTCACCACAAGGTTGTCCATGACTCCAGGATCTTGTCCTCAAGAGGGTGCTTTGAGGAGGAAATTATGGGAATTGAGCTTTGTAGCAGAGACCATAAAAATCTACAGCAGCCTTGGGAGCACGAGGACAGCAGCAGGTCCAGTCACCTCAATACCACCTTTTGGTTCTTTTACAGATTTGGATCTTATCATTTCCTCCTGGTTTTCTGAGCTGTGTACACTTTCAAGCCAAATACTTTTTCATACCAATGGAAACTTTACCACAATCACAAAACCAGGGATGCTCCTTCCCAACCCTACACCTAAAAAAATAATAAAGAATCAGGGAATAGAAAAGTTGTTGCAGAAGTGCTTGTTCTGTCAGACAATTTCCCTCCCTCCAGCTTTAATAGAAGACTGTGAGAACCACAGAAGTAACAGCTTCTCAACAAAGACGGTTCTTGACATTGCTCCTAGGGTTCCCAGAAGGGTTATTTCCAAACAGGACAAACTATTTAGAAAAAAAACCCATGAAAGGCTGGAGGGAGTTTCATCCACTAACCTCCTCCATTCCTGACCACCCCAAAGCCACACTGTACCAGCAGATTCCTCATCCCTGCTCACACAGCCCAAAAAACTTATCTTCTTGCCTCTCCCCCACCCTGGCCTGCTTTACCTGGGGCTTCAACACGCAGAAGGAGGTAAGAGATTAAAGAAGCACTTGCTAATTTTTTATATAGGCATTTAATGTCTTCTTTTTCCTCTCCTCATCCAGGCTACAGAAAAGCCTGGGCCAACAGAGCCCAAGGGCTCCTTGCTGAAGGACACGCTCATCTCTTGGTGCAGTCGTGGCCCCAACCACAGCACAGACACCGTCTGCCACTTGGAACCGCCTGGTGATGTCAAAGAGCAAGTGTTAAGCATGAAAAGGCTACAAAGGGATGTCCCTGGAGCTTCTGGTGGCTCTGGCTGCTGAGCGGTGACAGGGTGGCTGCGGGCTGTCCGTGGGTGTGCAAGCACAGCCACACACAGCCCACACAATCCCCCTCGCCCACTGGCAAAGCTTTGGCTACAGTGCTCCTCAGGAGCCTGGGATTTGTGTAATTTTTCATTTTTTTTCCCCCTAAATCTCAGCAGGATCTGCATCCTGGGAGGACAGCAGGGAGATCTTGTCACTAAGCCAGCCTCCATACCCCAAAGGAGCAGCACAGCTTCTGCTGGCACAGGCTGAGCCCATCGCTAGGCGTGGTACATGGTTGGGTGACCTGAGCAAGACAAAGTGCAAAGACTTCAGCTTCAAGGTCCCTTGTCACGTCTGCTGTTGGGATAGATTTGTTCAGGTAATTTAAACATTTGGCCAGGAACCACGTATTTCCTCATTAAAGTGTGATGAGGCATCCAGAATGGCTTCAGAAGTGCACGAGAGCACTATAAAACCACATGAGCCTCAACGCGGGCAACAGCTGCTGCCTCCACCTTCCCTGCCCCAATGCCTCTGGTGTTGATTTCTCCAGCACTAAGGACCATAAAGAAGGAGGTGACACCAAATCCCAGGGGGATTTTTTGCTGCCCAGTCATAGAATCGCAGAATCAAGGTTGGAAGAGATCCTTAAGATCATCAAGTCCAACCGTCAACCCAACCCCACCATGGCCACTAAACCATGTCCTGAAGTGCCACATCCACCACTTCTTGAACACCTCTAGGGACGATGACTCCAGCATCTCCCTGGGCAGTCTGTTCCACTGTTTGACCACTCTTTCAGTAAAGACATTTTTCCTAATATCCAATCTAACCCTCCCATGGCACAACCTGAAGTCAACACATGGGAACTCATCTGGAGACAACAGCAACTACTGCCCCAGAAGAGCAACCCAACACCTCATCAGTCTTGAAGCAGTGCAGAAACCCCCACAACCAAGGAGACAGAGCTCCCTGTGCAATGCCACCTCCTCCAAGTCACCAAGGATGCTACCACTCCAAAGGATAATACTGTGCTTTAATGTTTTAGACAATCAACTTCTACGTGGTACAACAGGCTGCACGTACTATACATATATACACATTGGTTGTAGTTAAAGTTTGTGTATTTGAACAATACTAATGTTCCAAAAAAATGCACCAAGTCTTACAACAACAAAAACGTGAACAAAATCCAAGGCCACAAGCAGAGAGAGGTCTGTTTTAAGGACTACAGGTCACACGGAAATAAAAAACAGCGGTGGTGCAATGCGAACTTTATCCTGAAGAGAGATAAGTGGTTAAAACACAACCTTTTCATTACCTCAGGAGCAAGATGGTGTTGTACAGAGACTTAATTTCCAAACTTAAGCAAGCAAAAAGAAACAAATGTGCTAGTGTGTGCTCCTTTGGTCCTTGACTTCTCCTTCCAGTTGTAGAGCTAAAAAAAGAGTTTTACTCTGAACTTCAGGCAAGAAATTTAAGGCTTTTCAGCTGGATATTTGAAATATACACCGGCAGAATCTGCTCCCAATCATGTAAGGAAAACAAATGCCACCAAGTTACTGTATTTGATAATGTGCAACACAGACCTTCACGCTAGCAGACAAACACCTTTATAGCACCTAGCTCTACAGAATCCAGGACAGAGGATATTATCAAAGCTTTTTCCAATAATGCTGTGATGGTCATCAAGGTAAAATCAGTGCAATCAAACACATGAGGTGGTTGTCCTTGAAAGTTCTTTAGGCCTAATGGAAATTTGACCAGACTTCATTTCATTTCTCACATGGGTTGAAGCAAGAGACAGGAATGTTGGTAAAGTCAAGTTTGCCAGACCAAGATCTGCCTTCTAGGCTAGGGCACAGGACATTTGGGATTCACGTTCGGCAGAGCAGATACGACGATGGAAACCTGCACTGTGGGCAACTGACACCCTGGCTGACATTTTATTTTTCAAGTTTTGCCTCCTGTGCTCGGCTTGAGATGGGTGGTTTTCATTTGCGCCTCATGTTTTCCCAATTAAGAGTTACAAAACACCCATTAAAATTGTAACAAAGTGTAAGAAGTTCAGCCAAGTCCAGCTGACTGAAACGTCTTGTACCAACACTGCCACATACAGAGGTTGCCACATACACAGACAAAAAATGTGGCTTAATTAATTTTGATGGCCCTGGAAATGCTTTTCTCAACTGCTCTTATGAAATAAGCTGTTGTCATTTCAGGTTCCTTTGCCCTGAAATGACCCGGCAGGAGAGGTACAACGTGCTGTGTTCAGGATTTCAGCGCTCACCTTTGGTCCGACATTTATGAGATGCAAATCCTGACATACTTGAAGAGAAATCTCCATTTTCGTATTATCGGACTCGATTTGGCTTCTCATTCTAACCCATGGAAATCCAAGAAAGAAAGCTCAAGATATAAATATCATTAAAAACCTCTCCGGATAACTGAGCACTTTGCAGACAGACTCTGGGGTTTTTCCTCCCCTCCTGTTAAAGTTTGCTTAAAAATAGTAAGAAACCGACGATTAAAGTGGTCAGACATTCTGAAGCACAGAGAAAAAGGTGCATAAAACCCCTTTATATCGACAGAAGACTGTGCCTCAAATAATTTAGAAGTTAATTCCCTGCACGTTAAGAGGCTAGGAAAAAAATACATTTAAAATTTCTCAAATAAAAAAAACTCCACAAAAAAAAAAAGTAGGACTAATACCAGCAAGAAGAAAAAACACCACCAGAGGTAACATCTCAAAGAGGTATAACATACATACCCAGATACTGAAACAGCCACTGCAGGACTTGTAATAAAATATACTCAGAAATAATTCAGGACCATCCTTCAGGACCAGCAGAGGTACAGCATTTGCAGCATAAGTGGCCCCACAAGGCTCCACAGCCTTCCAATTGTTTCCTGTGCCACTCCATATTTATGCTAATAAACATAACCATTTCATAAATACCCATTTCACTCCCAAGCCCCACTTTTTTCCTAACAGCAGTAGATTCTGCATCGTAGATGGAAAAAACATTCCCAAACCCCTATTCGCAGCTTGTGATTCCCGTGACATCAGCACCATTGGAAACCCAGGAGCCTACCTTGTCATTACATTTTTCATTTGCCATCAGAAGTCTTTTACTGCACAAAGACTACGACAACAATTCACAACGATTGAGTTCAAAAGTGAGACGCAGGAACAAGAAAGAACAGACAGTGACACCGGACAGAACAACCTCCAGAGTGCATTTAGAGACCACCACAGTTTCAGCTCCTGATGAGCGTCAGGAATTCTTCACGGGTCTTTGGATCTTCCCGGAATACCCCCAACATTGTGCTGGTTACTGTTTTACTGTTCATTTTCTGGACCCCACGCATTACCATACACATATGCCTAGGAGAAATCAGAGGGGAGTAAATAAATCAGGCATACTTGAAAGAAAGAAGCAATCCTACAAAGACAGACATTTCTTACACAGTCCCATTAAATCCTGGGGAAGTGACAAAACCTCCATGCCCAGAATGGACGTCTGTCAGAAGCACCTCAGCTGTCCTCTACAGAAAAGAAAGTCAAATCCCCAGCCCCTGAGCACTTCCATCTCTCCTCAAATCCCAGGAAAACCCTGCCTTTCTGATCACAGGGCCATGCCTGTTGCTAGAGCCAAGCTTTGCTCCACTTGAGGAAGCAGAAGATGCACCAAGGCAGAGCACAGCTCCAGTGCAACTGGAACAGCCGACCAGTTGCCACATCTCTGCAGTGGGTAAGGCAGGGCGCCGCTTTAGATGGCTCCAACCCCCCAGGACTGAACGGGCAAGGATTACTCCTGCCTCAAACAAGCACGGCACATAGCTACCACAGCCAAAAAGGCAACACACAACAGCTCTGCGATGCACAGCTGCAATCACACGCAGCACACACACTACCACGGAGCAGCTTGGAGTAACTCACGTAGCTTCAATAACCACTCCAACTCCCGCGGGCTGTAAGGCTTCTGTGATGGCGATCGCGATTTGTTTGGTAAGGCGCTCCTGGACTGAAAGGACAACAGCGAGTTCAGAAGAGCTGATAAATGTGGGTAGCAACACTGCATCCTCGCTTCCAAATGTGTTTGTTCCCCACCACCACACACACAAGCTCTGGTCTTCCTAAATAAATGTTATTAGCATCAAATCCTATCTTATCCTGGAACAGACCTTTTGTTTGTATTGGGAATCATTTTGCATTACACCTTTGCAGGAATTACATTACCATGATTTGTGATAACAGCTCTCACATTTCCTATTACACAGTTAGATTTTCTTGCTTCTCTGCTTTCTTTCAGTTTTTATACATTTGTTCACCAGGTTTACTGCTGCACTATTCATTCACTACACATCATTTCTCTTTTTAAGGAAAGGAAATGGAGATTTTAAAAAATGAGCTAGTTAACAGAGTCTATTGTTCCGCAAAGCTTTATTTCCTGCAGCTCTAACATGCTTTATTCGCCCGCCTGACACCTAATGGTCACCAAGCCTTCTGTCGCCAAGCACAGCCCAAACGTAACTGCAGGGCAAGGAGTGCAGGCTGAGCCCAACCCAAGGCCTCAGGTCCTGCAGCTTCCTCCATTCCTGGGGGGCAGCAGGCAGGCAGCCCGTAACATTGCAGCTCTCACTTCATCTCTGCAGATAAGAATTCTTGAAGGCATCTCTCAAATTATCCATAGGAGACTTCCCTCTCCAGCAGCATCCAGCTAGTTTAGTTATTTCTGGCAGCTGTACCTTGTTGCACATTTATCCTCCCCATCAGTTACTGCATACATCTATTTCTGTAGGCACATTGTACTCCCCACTGGAAAGACAGGGGGTGAGATAACAGATGAGAAACACCTGTTCAAGAGCAGCGTTCTTCACACTAAAATTTGCACAGCTATGGCCCACCTACAACTACCAGTACCCTGCGCTGGCTAGCAAAGGAGTGCACACAACAAAACCAACAATTCATCTCTTTACCTTGCAATCTTCTACTGTATATTTCCACAATCCTAAAGGAGGAAGGAGAAAGATGACGTTATAGTTATTCCCATCTGACCATTGATCTTCACAATTAACTTTGACTCTATCAGACAGGATGACTGTGCTGATCCATGTCCTTCCTGGAAATCCATGCAACATCACCTCCCTTAGCACATCGCTGCATGTAGTGACAGGTTGCCTCTACCTGCTGCTCCAGGGACTATTTCTGGGGCAAATCTGTCCCTTTTTCTTAGGGCTTCTCCTGAATTACTTGTGCCACCACCCACCTGCATCCCACAGTTGCAAATGAATCCATGGTCAAAGCTAATCCTTGAATTGGGGTCAGACTGCCTCCTCTTGCTTCAATCTAAACCAAATGCTGTTTTATGGACAGTTCAGATTTTGAGACTCCCAGAAGGCTACTGAAATTAAGAGATGTTTTGGATTCTTGCATTTAACCACAAATTTAACTAAGAACAATGAGACAGAGTTGGTTTTATTTAAAACAGACACTCTCCACCCATATATCACACCATCCTTCACATTTCAGTGCAGGATTCACCTTAATGCTCCCCTCCAACGTGACTTCAAATTTAAGCCATTTGTGGGGCAATGCAAGCGATACTATGATCATTTATCACCACAGTACTATCATCTGAACATTTAAGAAAAGTCTTACAGCCGCTCCATAACTACATGGGTTATTCATGTCAACCCCAAATGTTTCATGACACATCAAGTGGCCACATAAAGAAGCTGCCGTAGAAAGCTTCGATACCCATCGGGTCAGACCAGACAAAAAACAGACGCTGGCCGGCAGCCTGAGGCATTAGTTACAAGAAACATTTCTGACAATGAGACTTGGCTGCTGTTTTGAAGAGAGAATTATATGCAGAAACTCCCCTCCAGAAATGAAATGGTTGTGTTACAGCTATTCTAAACAAAGCAGCATAACATTTAGATTAAATATATGGATAGGAAACAAGCTGATGCTCAGATATTTTTACACTGGTATTGCATATAAGGAGTCCATGTTTATGTAAAGCAGTTATTTTTCAAGCCTGAGCTTAAAATCCAAAGAAAGATGTTTGTTTACTGAATACAGGTCATCCACAACTACAGAACCTCACCCCATTAGACTAATCCTATTAGGAAAGATTAGGCCTCCAGTACCAACAGCCTCACAAATCTTTGTTTGAACACTGGTTGCATTATATAGGGCACGAAAGGGAAGCACCATTTGACCCACCGATCTCTTCACAGAAAGCACTCAAATGCAAGTGAGGACTGAGAACATTTTGTTATACAAGAACCTAATCTTTTCATTAGTGGAGTTTTACCCTACCTTGAAAAAGAGGCGAGATTTACCCTTTCAAGCACAGCACAGGAAGCCTTGCACATATTCATGCATGTTTCTATACTGAGAATAAATGGTAGGAAGATTGTACACTTCTAGCACCATGTTGCCACTTGCATTAAAAAAAAAATCACTGAAGACAGTTTTCAGTTCTTTTTTAAGCTCTGCAATTCAGAGGTAACTAGAAACTAGAGCGAGCAAAAATCAACTGATGCATATTTCAAATGTGATCCCTAATCCTGCATTCAAGCACTGTGGAAATGAAACCAAGTGCTAAAGACAGCCTCTTCAGGAAGGATGTTTGCCTTCAGAAATCCAGCTTGAAAAAACCACTCACCATCTAAAAAAAGTTCAGCCACTGAAGTGCCAGCCAACACTCAGCACAAGCCATGAACTGCCACACAGACATCCTCAAGCGTAAGCAGCTACAGAAGGCAGAATATTTCGGCCAGCAACTGCAGTGCTGTCAGCTCAGAATCTCACCCTACCATTTCAGCAGTTGGGTACAGTCACAGAAAACACATAGGAAAAAAATTAGATGTTGAACTGCCTTGTTTCAGCCTTTGAATCAGAGCTAAGTCCACTCCTACATGAAGATGGCCTCCCTGTCCTGTGAGTTAGCAAAGATGTGACCTCCAAGGGAAGGGGCCTTTAATTTCCAACCCAGATTCACTGTTGTGCAAGCAGAGCACAGGACAGAGCTGACTTTAAAGCATTTTAGTGCCACATCCTACACATTTCTTACTCGCTAAGGAAACCCAGTGGGCATGCAGATTTACAAGGCTAATTCTTATTAGTATTACTGGAGCCAGAGGAAGATTAGCAGACATACCAGGGAAAGTATAAGCAAACCTATGTGGTCTTTCTGAACTACAGCAAATTTTTCCAATTTTTTTTTTTCTCGAAAGAGAGCCTTCTACTCCAGTCCCCAGTAATCTGCTTATTGAAGGGATCTACCATCCCTTTCCTCTCCAGAATGAGAAAGTGTCGCTTTATAACAAGATTCAGTGCAAGAACTGAGCCAAGGGCACTTGCTGAGGAAAAAGCTGTTTTACATAACAAATGGATTTCTCAAGTGTACCATAATTGCTTTGTTTCTTGGGTGAATCTTATCTATAAAATCTACTCCACGGCTCTCTCAGCAGGTCCTGAGTGAAAGAAAGAAATGTCAGATTTATCTGAAGAGTCAGCTAACAGATCAAAGGTTTAGATTAGATTTCTATTCATTGAACACATTCATTTACAGTTTGGAAGTTTGGGATTTTTGTTCTTGTCGGTCAATATACACACAAGCAGTACATAGCTGCTGATCCCTGGTTTTGATGGCCTGCCTCAGAACACGACCAAATTCTCTGTTCTTGTTTCCGTGCTCCCTGCAGACACCAACGCTTTGAATGAACGTACAAAAGTGCTGCAGCTCTACTACAGTCGACTGATGTGAATTAACACAGAGCTCTGAGACTTATCTGTCCTCTCCACAAAACACATAATGCTGAGGATTGGTCTGAATCCAAATCCAGGACACAAAGTGGGCTGAGCTTTAGAGGGGGGCCAGATTAGAAAGATTAGCACAGTTAGCACAGCTTGGAATCCTTTTTACAAATTAGCATCGCTTTCATTACATTAGCACTTACCTAGCAAGCTTGCTGAGGCCAAGTACTTGTTTGTTAGGAAGGTAGCCAATGTGTACCTAGACAGAGGAGAACAAGCCATTAGGAGAATCAAAACCACACTTCCACATGCGTATGAAACTCATGCATAGAGAACGAGATGTGCATTTGCCCCAGAACTAACTCTGGAACAGTCCAGAAGTCCTAGCACATGGGAGGAACATGCCACCATGCAAGCCTGAAAAACAGCGGAGCTAACGGAGACTGTAAATGCCTGGTGAGGTCAGTGTCCTGGTGAAGAACAGGTAAGTTTTCTGAGGAGGAGAAAAATCACAACTCTTCAAGAGTCAAGGCTTATGTTCCAAGTCTCAGGAACGCTATAATTCTACTACATTTGGGTACAAAAGGCAGTCTATTACTCAGCACAGCACTGTTCCTCTAAAATAAACGTGCTTTTCTTTCAAGACCTAAAGTGGATTTTGGGAGCAGGAGGGAGAGGGACTGTACTTCACTCCCAGTGAAGGTTCTCATGGCAAGAAGTAGTTAGGCACCAAAATCAGGCTGCACTTACTGATTTGTTTTCTCTGTTATTGGTAGTACTATAGATCCCTGCATGATTAAGTCAACTTCCATCCTGCTTGAATGTGGATTTGCTGAATGCTCATACTGAACATGTAGTTGCACTAAGTTGGAATAAGTTCTTGAGAAGAAAGGTGCTCAGATACAAAAGCAGGGGAAAGCCATTTAACTTCTTGTTTTTAGAAAGCCAACATAGGCTACTGCATTCAAGTGGGTTTATAGTTACAACAGACTGTAAACCAGTGTATGTGTCACTGTACCAGAGACTTGAAAAATTAGCCAAGATACAGTAGGGGAGTGTCAGTGTAAGATTCTGTCTTAGCACTTTGCCTGGAGGACCCCTGTATTGCTGTACCTGCAGTTAGAGGTACCACAGTGCACCTAATTACCTGGCTAACTTGCTCATTCCTATCACTGCTGTTGGGTAATCAACCCATTGACACCTGAAAAGACATGAAACGTTTCAGACAAAATAAGAGACACGACTTAGAAATAAGCATTGAATCCTGTTCCCCACAGAGTATTTTGTTTTTGCTAATTTCTTTATTTCATTTAAGATAGAACCGCAAATACGAGACCTACCGGTCAGTATTTGCAGCCTGTCTGATGTACCCAACAGGAGAATGGTTAGTCTGAGAATATTTAGAGGCATACCAAGTCATTTAGCAGACCATTATACGAGCAGGACCGATTCGGTGTTTGCGAAGAGATTTCTCCAAACCACACAGGCTAAACAGCTAGATGTAAAAAGAATGCATATATTGCCACAGGAGTAACGAAGAGAATACACACAGTATGTGTAACCAAGAATAACAGGAGAAATAGAAAGCTTGCACAGAAAAAGAAGTTACCTTGTTTTGCAGTATAAAATATTAACAGTAAGAAAAGAAAGCAGATGAAATTGAGTTGACTCAGCTAAATAAACTGATTGTTACTGTTCAGGTATTTTATTTTGGGAGATGTTTTCCTTGGAACATGCACAGCACTGATCAAATTTTACAGAAAACAAAAGCACTTGCTAGTCTCTGGCCTGCGAGTATTTACGACAGAACAGATGGGTCAGAATAAGCTTTGTCCTTCTGTGCTGATACAGGAGTGAAGAGGCCGAGCTGTGCAGAAGGGACCGCCCACTCCGAACTCTGCATCACGTTCACAGTGGCTACCTTGAGAGTTCTTTATTTTCTTTTTAAAGTTATTGACATCACTGTTTCAACATCCTCTGAAACAGCAGCCCCTCGCATGGGAGTCCCACCTTAAGCAGCTTCCCGCTAGTCAATTCAGACCACCCGCTCCCTATTTAAGAAGTTTGTTTCATGCATGGGGGTTCCCAAGATAAATGTGAATAGCTCTGAGCCAGAAGCTAAATCCGTGACAGAGCCAGCGTGCAGGGTGAGCTGGTTTAATATCAAGATGTCTGCCCTCAAGGCTTGCTGCTGCTTCATGAGGAAGAGCTTTGATATGAAATGTCAGGAACCATTAGATTACTTAGACTAGGAAAGGTTGAGCATTATACTTTAGGAGCTTAAATCCAAATAAAACTCACATTAAGGAGGTCTTCCTTATTTGTATTCTGAAGATTAACTTCTAGAATCATAGCTGTAGGCAGGAAATACTTACAGCTTTAAAAGCTTTGTAGTTACAGCGACAAAAGTTTTTTACACGTTCTTTGTTTTCTGAGGAAGAGTTACCTTTCCAACAAACGGAACGAGGTGATGCTCACACAATGAGAACATGTCTATGTCCTTCACAATTACCATCTCATCGTGATCTTCATCAAAGATGGCGTCATTCAGCACATCTGAAATCAAACAGTCATATTAAAAATAAATAAATCCACAAGCACGGAAGGTTTTTCCAGCCAGTATCTGGGAAAGACTGTAGCAAGAGCACAGCTACAAGTTATAGGGTTGAGATGTGGGAGGTAAGTAATGAGTAACATCACAAGTACTCTTTGGTTCACATACGATCACACAATTGCCCCACTGCTATGTCTGACTCCCCGTGTGTTACACCAGAAGTACTGCTTTATTTCAGTAAGAGTTTCAGCCCAGGTTAGAATGAGTCCAGCCCTTGCAGAATTACTGACATCTTAAGAGCAGTTAAGACTACAACTGATAAAAAAGCCAATGCTGAGGAAGAAAGCATGTCTCAGAGTGGGTTTCCATCAGTGCTTCCACATATCGCAAGCAAAGCTGAGACTGAGGTCTGGGAAAAGCTAAGCTGCCACAGCAGTTTCTCCAAATAATTCAACACCAGCATCTCTATCCTCAAGGAGGCTCTGCATGCAAATAAGATACTCTCTCATTTCATCCCGAAGCACACCAGCCAGCAGCTGTGGAAGCATACACAAAAACCAAAGAGATAGATCTGTATCCACAGATCGGGGAGAGATGTGCTGTCCTGAACTGAAAGCAGGTATGCATATGCAAACTGTGGCCTAATTCTGCCCCTCAGTGTTAGCAGAGAATTAAGGTGGAGAAAACCATAAAGGCAGAAGGAAGAGACAACTCAGTAAGAAAAGGAACACACAATGTGACACTTTGCTGGTCTCAGAGCTCAGCAAAATTGATCCTCAGTTGCTTTTCCAGATTTAGCAGTTCCCTGACGTGTCCCCAAGCAATCCTGACATGGGTTACAGTCTCCAGAAAGACTGCATGCAGCTGGACCATGGTTGGAGAGGTACAAAGGAGAACAGTCTCCAGACCAAGACTTTTGAAGGACAAAAAAGAAAAGCTGTGTAGAAGAGAAAGAGAGAATAGCAAGAGAGAAGCTGCTTTACAGAAGAGCTGATAATCAGAACAAGGACTTGAGCAAACAAGTGAGCTTGGAGCCACACTGACTGCTTGGAGTTACTTCCAGGAGCCAGAGTCACACAGACCATGGGCAGAAGGGGAAGCAGGCTGCTCAGGGGCTGCCCTGCTTCACTGCCAGTGGAGCTCAGCACCCGCGTAGCGATTACACAAATCTAATAGCTGTGTCTGCTCTACTTGCCTTTATGCTTCCCCCTGACATGCACGTACACCTAATGGCCACCATCTGTTGCCGATAACGTCTCATCATCATGGAGATTTTAATTTCCTGCTTGCTATCAGCACTACACAGGTAACCCTGGAAACTGTGCGCGTGATGTTCTCCCTGCGATGCACGTCCTTTCCTGAGAAGGGCTGGCAACCTGCAAGGCAGAGGCTGAACCCCAGAAGTCATTCGATCAGGTCAGAGAGCAGGAGTAGAGGGCACGAAAGAGACCAGGAAACAACTCCGTAAAGGTACAGGATTTTGGTCTTCAAATTTCAGAGTCTAGTTTTACACCAAACACTGCTGGAAAGGATTTTGATTACATAGGGAGCACCACGCTGCTTTAGAAGTATGAATTCAGCCAGGGATAGCCAGATTCCAGAACAGAGCTTGCTCAGAGGAGAGGGAAGGGGAGACAGCAGCACTCTGCAGATGTGCCATTTCTACAGCAGAAATGCAAACAGCTGTTTCACAAAACCCGCTACTGCGCCCAGCGTTATTAAAACAAAATCCAGACAGATCCACGAAGCATCTCCAGAGTGACTGCTGCTGTTATTAGACCACCAGCTCGGCTCACACCAGCCCTGCCAGGAGCGTATCGGAGCCCGATGTTAGATATGGATTTACGTCAGCACACTTGCGAAGCAGACTGTTCAGAACAGTCAAAAAGGGCCACGTTTTCATTAAGTCATGGTAATGTGGGATGCAGCGTAAGGCCAAAGCCTCAACAGAAGGAATTTCAACCATGAAGTCTCATATATGTGTATGTATATGCGCACACATAATGATTCATGTATAAAATATGTATGAATGGGCCATATCATTTCTGAAGAAACCAGCTTTGCGTTAGCCCCTCCAATAACCCCTTCACAACTGGCAGATGACACAGGGGCACAAGGTAAAACAAAAAAATGATGCTGAAGGCCTGAGGAAATGGCCAAGGTGGTAAGAGAGAGCCCCAGTCACCCCTATCCTGCTCCAGTCTCCCCTTTCCCACACTTCACAAGCCTGTTCTCCTGAAAATAAGCATAGCTTGAAGCCTGCCCTATCCCTATACATCCCCCTTTGAAACTCAAGCCTTGTGTTGGCAAAAGAAGAGTTGTGTAAAAGTAGCTGTGACAAGATGCTGTACTGTGTCCCACTGCAGCTCTTGTTTTCAGGAACGATGCAGGAGAGAGTTGTTTGGCAAGGACTCAAACACTTTGTGCAGGGAGGCAGGACCATTTTATCAAACTTTGCCTTTTATTTGTTTTATTTTTGTTTTAGTCGCTCAATTTGCAACAGCATCAAACGGACCCTGAGAAGCTCAGCCTGTAGCACATGTTCTGGAGAACTTCACAGAGCTGAAAGGACAGAAGGGGAAACAGGGCCTCAGATTAACCTGGGGACAAATTCGTGCCTCTTTTCCCTTTCTTTCATTCTGCCTACTAGAGCACAGCGCCTGCTTTGCTAGCTGGATTTCAGTTTCCTCATTTGGAGGCCCAAAAACATTTACTCTTGCCACGCAGGGCAAGATCCGAAAGTCCTGTTGTCCCTCCCCAGGCCTATCCCAGTTCTCACAGACCAATGTGGCTGCACCTCTTAGCTCTAAAATATCTACCTGCCCTTCCAATGCCTCTGCATCTTTTCCATCTCTCCTTCCTGCAGCACTAGCATCTTCAAAGCAAAAGCGCAGAAGTCAACAGGGCTTCTAGAGGGAATGAGGGCTAGAAGTAAATATTCCTAGCTTGGCTTCCTGACGAAGCAAGGAGCCTGCAGCTCAGATGGGCTCCTCCTCAACCGGCTACTTTCCTTCATACAAAAAGGAAATTCTTCCTCACAAACAAAGCAACACTTTTACTCCCTCCAAGTACCACCTACATAATCCTTCACATCAGTAGAAAGAACTAGAGTCTCCTCTGCAAGCAAGGAGATGGTTCACGTTCATACATCACAGCCAAAGGAGGCTGCAAATAACACCACTTTCATCCTCCACCACCCCAGAAAAGCTAAGGGAATTTACTGCTTAAGTCCTTAAGCCTAGACACACCATGGTATTGAAAAGCTAAGATTTGAATTAAAATCTATGGCTGAGAGGAGGGGAACAAGAACAAACATTACATGCACAGGCAGGGCGCTCTCTGGATTATTCCAGCTGAGTTTACCTTCAGCCCAGAGTTCAAGTCCTGTTGTAGAAACTTTGGTGGGCTGTTAAAACTGCTCAGATACCTCTGCTGCAAGTTAACTCCTGAAACAGAGCAGAATTAATTTTCCCCTTTATCTTCAAGAAGGGTTCATAAAAGTAAAAAAAAATTAAAAATCAGAATTGGATCAAGACAGAATGAGAAAGACCTTTCAGGATTCTGCGTCAGAGCTAAGCAAAAAGACCTGTTGCTATAGAAACTATTTGCATGGCTTTAATGTGACAGAGGAAAGCAAAAAGCACCTCTGGCAACCAAAGAAGCCAGAGCCCACCCAGCAGCTGGCTCGGTAGATGAAGGGAATGAAGGATGGCAGCACTCCGCAGAGCAGCACCACATCAGCTTCACAGCACTTCAGATGTCCCATTTTTACCATGCCTGGGAGACAGAAGACTGAAGTGATGTGGGTTGCTCTCGCTAGGAGTTAAAGCACTTCCCTGTAGTGCTAAGGTGCCCCACTGCTCTACTTCAGAGGAGTCAGAGAGATTGGTTCAGCGTCGACAGGATAAATGCAGCCGCAGAGATCTCCTTGAGCTCATCCACCCTGGCACAGACGTAAGGCACAAAATTCTCCCGATACTCATCACACAGCTCCAGATGTCCTCACTGACAGCCCCTGTGCTCTCCATGGTGACCCATAAGTTGCAGCAGGCAGCTGAGGCCATTGTAGGAATGGGTTCAGGCTGTAAAACCTTTCAGTTGATGCTGGGTAAGGAGGAAGATGCAGAATCAAAGCTGAAATTTGTTATTTATTCATGTGGTGACACTACAGGGTAAGTGCAGTTAGAGGAAATATTTCAGACAAGCAACACAAGAAAATGATTGCAGCCTTTCAGTGTTAAAAAGGTACCAGGAATTTATTATTCATGCAGAGAAGAATCAGGCTACAAAAACACTCATTCATATGGAGAGACTTTGTACTGCTGCAGAAAGTTAACAACTTCAGGTCGCTAAGAAAGGGAGTGGTTGGGATATGCCAATTGACAGCAGAATTACCATTTGCTTCAAGAGGGCTTGAAGAGCTCTAGAAAGAGATACAGCCTAAGATGCCATATTACTACTTAAATAGGCAACTGCATTCAAAAGCTGCAGAGAAAATTAAATGGGCACTATGTGGCTTCCTTTCCATGACGTGCCCTCCTAACAGGAACCAAGAAAACCCTCAGACACGAAGGAATTTACAAGCTTGTGACTAATATTTCAGATTTCATCACCAAAGGACTAGAAACAGACATTCAACTTCAGAAGCAAAGCTTAATTCCTCAGTTACCAGAAGAGAGGTGAACCAGATGTGTAATTTAAGGCACATTTCATAGAGGCAAAGCTGGAGGAAAAGTATCATTGCTATTTGACTAATTCTGGCCATCATTTATACAGATTTGTTTAGTTTCCCTATAAAGACACTTTACGTGTTGCAGTGAGAGACTCAGATCTATTCACGAGAGATCAGTTATTGCAGACTCTCAGATGAAGCCAAGATTAGGTTCTACAAGTTGTCCTCTGCTAGGAGGTTTATTAATACGAGGGAAAGCAGGGTTATGGAGATGGATCAGGATTTTCAATAGCCATTTCAATGTCTCATGTCATGGAAGGTGCTGAAAGTGCCC